TTCAGATTATCTTATAACATTTTCCTTTTTCTCATGGGGTAATACTCTACTTACTTCACAAATCCATAAATTTACAAAGAACTTAATCTTTATTGAAACCTTCAACAAATTCCTTCAACTTAAAAATATTCGTAATATTCCTCAATTCAATATTAAAACCTTCACAACCATCATTAACTCCTGTAATTACAAACCTAACTTATTCTCACTATGTATTAAAATACTACTAAACAACCTACCTACAATGTCCAATCTTCATCTTCGTTACTCTAACCTTTACTTAACCCCTAACTGCACCCTATATAATCAATACAAAGATATCTTACACCTGTTAAACTGCAATCAAGCACTTTTCGACCCATATCAAATACTTAATCAATATACAATCCAAACAATAACTGAACTTAAATTGAAAATGCAAACCCTCTAACAATTACAAATATTCTACTTAATACAAACACTCAAAATACACCTTCTCAAAACTTTCTCTTTCTCATACAAGGGACAATTCCCTTTATACTACTGACCAATTACAATCTATCCTTACTAAAAATACTACCAACTTCTGTCTTTGTCTTTCTAATAATCTCCTCTCCTGGTTTAACTTAAACATTTGGCAAATCAGAAACCAATCCCAACATGACTGGGAAATCGCAAGAAATATCACATCTAAATCCAAATGAATTAAACTCTCCTTACCATCTACTACCTCCAAAACTCCAATAACAACAATTTATAATTACAATATTGATTCATATATTCAAAAATGGTATAATCAAAACTTTTCTATCTTTTCATGCTTTTATTAATCTTATACTTTATCTATTGGGCCCTCTCTTTCCCCCTCTATAACTAGTAGTAGCTAGTCTTAAATTAGTTTGCAAATAGAAAATTAAGACACTCAGGTGGTTATATAAGATACAATAGATAGTTTAAATTAATATCATCTTGATATAAATCTGTAACTAATCTTATCATGTATACAGCAAATTCATAATAAAAAAAAAAAAAAAAAAGTTGGTTATAGTAGTTGTGTTATATAATATAATGGAAATTATATAACAGGTGACTTTAATCCAGGTGAAAATAGAATTTTTCTTTAGTTTATTTAAGATTTTTAATATAAGTGGTTATATTCGTTTAGCACCAAAGGATCAGTGCGGATTGCTGATTTATCCAAGACACAGATATTTAATATCGAAAATAATTTTGCATAGCTTATTGCTACATATGCTTGGCTATATGCAAATATTTGTTCGTCTATCCAGATGGATGCATGTGATAGTATTATACCTTGTGCTTTGTGAATAGTTAATGCAAATGCATTTTGGAGAGGATATTGTGTTCGTGATGTATGTGCACCGTTCATATTGAAGTAAGACGTAATTTTGTTTATAGTTACATTAGTTATGCCAGTTAGTGTTGGAAATAAACGTTAATAGAATTTTCTTGAATTTCACGTATAACTCCAATTGTACCATTGCAAATTCTTGATGAAAATTTTGTATTGTTTAAGAACATTACTCTAGAACCGATTTAGATATATAGGTGGATGGTAGGTTTGTTTTATGTTTAAATAAATCTTCTGTTTGTTCAATTGTCCATTGGGTACCATTAATTGTGACAATTGCTATTGAATTGACTTTTGTGTTTGTGGGAGGAAGAAGGTTACAAATGGTTTTGTTTATTTCATTAGCAAGTTGGCGGTGGCTGACAAGGTTTGTTGTGTTTATATTGTAATAGGTGTAAGATTCAAAAAATTTTTTTCGTAAAATTTGCTAGGATTGTTCTGTAATATTTCCAAATCAGATTTCCTGAAGAATATTAAAAAATTGTGGGTCTTGATGTTGATGATGTGGTGTTGTTAAAAATAGAGGATGAAAAAGTGGCCATATAGGAGAGCAAAATACTGGTGGGCCATAAACTGGCAGTAACTGTGCTAAGTCGCCTGAGACTATAACATTGATACCACCAAAAGCTAAAGTATTTTTGTAAATACGAACAAATATATCTTATATAAAGGTGAATAATAAAGAAGAAACCATTGATATTTCATCTATTATTAGTGTGGTAACTTGACTTAATTCTTTTAATTTTTCTTTATTTTGAAAAATTAATGCTTGTAATGTGTTTGAATTTGAGATAAGAAGTGCTGAGTAGATTATTTGACCATTTATATTACTGGCAGCTATTTCTGTTGGGGCGAGTATTAAGTATTAATATGTTTGGTGTTAAGTTGTTGTATAAGCAAGTTTAGAATATGTGATTTCTCTGTTCTTGCGGGGCCTGTAATAAAAAAATAAGGCCATTTTCGTATGTTTTGTGAACCAAGTGTTGAATTTAGCTTATTTAGAATTATGTATTGATCGTTGGATAAAAATAAAGGAGATAATTCTGAAAAGTAAGTAGGTGTTTTGTGTAGATTTAAAAGTTGGATATTATATAGATTTGCAACATCTGTTTGTGGTATTGAACAAACTAAATTTGATATCATTTCTTCATATGTGTTTATCATTTGTAGTGAGTATACTAGGTGGTTGCAGTTTTTTGTTTAATAAATTATACGGTATTGTTCAGTAGAGCAGGCTATAAAATATTCACGATATGTTGTATAGTTTCCTTTAATTCATTTTCTGAGCGAAAGGAGAAATTTAGTAAAAGTTGTTGGTAGAAATATTCTTCACTATTTTTAATTGATCGGTGAGTTGTTCTGGTTAGAATCGGACGTTTTTGTTTTATTACTATATAACTAGAGGATGCAGATGTGGGCGGCTTCGCCGCCCGGTTGAGGCTGTTATAGTATTATTTCTTAAAAGAAACAATATATATAATGGTTAAATGATATTATGTCAGTAGATTTAGATACATTTAAAACATTTTAAATAAGATTTATTGTATATAAACATACGTATAAAATATAAATATATAATATATTGTTTTATTCGATATTTATTTTTTTAAGATACTTGGATATGGGATTCAATGGCCTAAATATAGGGTATGAAGTGTGTTTTAGATATAAAGTCAGAACTGGTGCTAGTTGTTATAAGGATAAATTTTACGTTGTAGAAATAAAACTTACGTGTTTAAGGAATTTATTTACTAAGAACAGATGCATTAGAGTGGTAGTCTTAAATTAGGACGTAGAAATATTTGAGTCAAGTATTAAAGTCTTTGTTTACTGCAGTTAAAGTCAGGCAGAAGTTTGTCTGATTGGCTAATAAATCCAATTTAATTTTACATTATTTATACAGTTTAGAGAATTTTTTTAAAAAAACGAAAACTAATCATAATGAAATAAAAAAAAAAGGCTATATAGAAGGTTTCATTAGGGCTGTAGGGCTTCATAGCCAAAAATAAGATCTAATTCTCGTCTGTTTGAAAAAGTTTGTATAGTAATAACTTCTCAAAACCGATAAAATCAACTTATTACTAAGCTAATTTTTTCAAACAGACAAAATTTTTGACTATTGAGTCCTATAGCTCTAATGAAACCTTCTATACAACTTTCTTTACTTTATTATGGTTGGTTTTTGTTTTTTTAAAAAAATAAGTCTTCTAAGCTGTATAAATAATGTAAAATTAAATGGAATTTATTAGCAATCAGACTAACTTCTGCCTATGACAGTTAATGAGAAGATTGGGTTCTAAGTATTTATTGAATATTTGTTTTATTAATAAATTATTATATTAAATAATGAAGTTAATCATTGAAATTATTATATAAGTTCCTTGCTTGATTTATGATTCAGTAATAGTAGCTGGTATATCGTTTAATATGTTCAAGCAGCAAAGAGACTAAATTTACATAAGCAAATGCATATCTACGTACCTTAGCAAATACAACTGTAGTATATAGGCATAAGGCTTTCAATAGGGCTTAGCCAAAATAATAAGGCATAAAAATAACAAAATTAACGGGAAACATGATTTCAACCAATTACTGAATTCGTTTTAACTTAATTAAATTATTAGTACCACATAATTAATGCCATTAAATTCCGTACAATAATTATTATTATCAGTCACGCCTCATATTATATTAAGAATTATATAATTACGAGGAAGTTGTTTTGATGATCCCACATATAGATACAAATGAGTGGTGTCAAGGGAAAAGAGCATCTCCGTTTTTTAATCAATTATTGATTCAATAATTGATTAAAAAACGGAGGTGCCCTTTTCCCTTGGCAGCACTCAAATACAAGAACAACCAAAAATATCGACGTACCACAAGCCATAAAAGGCAAAAACAACCAAACAAAATTGAGTAGTGGTAATAAATAAATCTGTCACGCCAGTCAGATCCCTTTTAACGCAAACATACAATAGGTTTAGTGTTCACGTCAAATCTAAGCCATAATAAATAGAATATTTATTAATGTAAATATATTCAAAAACAACCAATCAGATTACACTTCTATATACACAAAAACCGTATAACACAGGGGATTTGTTTTTATTGATAATAAATCCCATTATTGGTCACGCCTCATATCAAATTATTACAAACTTTGCACATGACTCTGAAACAAAATTCTTTCGCTACGATTTTTACATTTCGACCTTTGCCGATCACTGATTATCATTTAATCTACCCGGCAAAAAAAGCGTGAAAAAAAAAACAAAAAGATGTAAAAAATCGAGAAATACTCGTTCACAAATTAAGCCAACCATTCAAAAATAATAAATACGGTCAAATTTTTGTATCCAATACATAGTGATCAACACACTGTATCTAGAATCTACAAGTAGTATCTACATGCAGTATCTACATGTAGTATCTACATGTAGTATCTACATGTAGTATCTAGTATCAAAGTATATATAAAAAAGGAGGGAGTAGATCCTTCCTTTTATATAATTACAAGGAAGTTGTTTTGACGATCATCCGGTCAAAATCAAATAGATACAAATACAAGAACGACCAAAAATATAAATGTACTACAAACCATAAAAACCATAAAAGGCAAAAACAAACCAACAAAATTGAGTAGTTGTTAATTATTTTGATCTACAAGTGTGTTACAGTATTTTAAGATATTTTTTGTTTGTATAACTTTGTAGCATTTCCAGTAGTCTGGATAGGTTAATTGATTGAATTCGGGGGTAGTTGGGCGAGCAAAATATTTTTCTATCATGTCTGACCAGTATGGGTTGCTTTCATTATTATTGATCATATAAATAGGCAAAACAGTATGAGATCTTGTTTCAGGGGGGTTTGTAGGTAAATAAAGTACATCAATGCTACTATGACATATATGTTTCCCTAAAAGAAGCATCATTTGTTCCATAGATCCTAGGCGTCTTGCAATAACATTATTTTGATAAATATCTTGTTCCGTAATTTGGAATACATCTGGTAGTTCACTTTTGGTAACATATTTTGTCATATATTTGGCATAATGTCTTGATGTTACATACTGAAAATTTATATGTGCTTGCCAAATTAGAAGCATCTCTGGGTGATATGGAACGATCTATTTATCTTCTTTTTTAGTGCGTTTGTATATATAACGGAGTAATGTTCTGTCTTGATGTGTAGTTTCAAAAAGTGGAGCTGGAAATTCTTTGTGCCAGCATTCTCCAATTGGTGCTGAACCTCCACATAATTGTATCAAACAGGAATGTACTTGATATTTCTGGACTAACTCATAGAGTTCATATTTATGGTTAGGGTCAGGTAAGTCAGCACGGATTATATTTTTTTCTATTATTTCAGAAATTTCAGTTTCGACCCATGCAATTCTATGGATGTGAATCGCACCATAGTTTTGAAATTTATCATGTTCAAAGTGATGTATCTATTTAGACCACCCGCATAAGTTTGCATTTTTTTTCCATAAAAGATTTTATGTTGAGTTTAACAGATAATTATAGTTTAAAGTTGTATGTAAAGAATGGTTTGAGGGCAATATATTTCTATTATCTGTTTTTGATAGTATGATATGTAAATGATGCCAATCTTTTTCTGACATTGTCATAATGTAAAATAATTGAGGAAGGCCTAGATTATATGACATGGAATTTAAGTCGAGTCATTTTTAATAAAAGTACGTATCTCCAGTACGAAGAAAACTCGTAATGTTGTTGTCAATGTTTCATTTATTATTAGATGTGTGTTATATGCACTTCTATTTAGTAATTCACCTGTTGTAGGTAATGGGAATGTGTTTTGTTTGCGTGCAAGTCTTTGAGTGTTTGGATGAATATGCAGTTTTTCTAAACGTAAGTATGACTATCTGGGCCAGAACCAGTGTAGTCAGAACCTTGGATTTGGTGATAACAGATATAGATAGGCGTGAAATTATATTTTAATTTTTGATATTTCAACAGTTGAAATTAAAATTCGACTGTTGAAACTGAATTTATTTTTAGTAGTTGAAATTAATTCAACTGTTGAAATTAATTTAGCTGCCGAAATTAATTTTAACTGCTGAAATTAATTTCAACATTTGAATTAATTCGACCGTTGAAATTAATTCGACTGTCGAAATTAATTCGACTGTCAAATTAATTTCGGCAGTCGAATTAATTCAAATGTTGAAATCAATTCAACAGTTAAAATTAGTTTAACTATCAAAAATAAATTCAACTATTAAACTAGATAATATAATTATTAAAGATTTCAATAATTATTTAACGATTCGATAATCAAAGGTTTTTTATACAATATCGTGAGGGTGGGTTGTGCTTATTTTGTAATACTAATTTAATAATATCTAAGTGTGCCATATGCCAACAATTAGATATCACAATCCGCCGGGTGAAATTATTAACTATTGCTATGACGATGATCATTTATTATAATCAAACTAAATAAAAATGGCGATTGATACTTGTGCAATATATTTCTATTATAAAATGTCATCACTAGGTTTAGATCTTTGCTGATATTCAAATGAATTCCAACTTGTGTTATGCTAATTGTAATCGAGAGTTCACTTTGCTGTAGGGATGTTAATGGAGTAATACTGTAATATACTTCAGAGTAATCCTGAAGTATAACTAGTGATGTGCCACATACAGTACTGTACGTACTATACTGTCGACCCTCCCAAAACCGATCCTGTCAAAACCGATAACCTGCCATAAACGATTAAAATTTGGTCCACCATGTCGGTTCCATAAGTAATATCCGATAACCTGTCATTTCTGATAACCGATAGCCAATTTATTAAAGTGGTTGATTATAGTTGCATGAGTGCAACAGATTACACAATGTTCATTGATGTTTTAAGCACATTCAATCAAAGAATTAATCACCAGCCAACATACGCAACCAATTTTTGCAATTTTTTTAAAAACTTTGAACGAAGTTTTCTTAATAACTACCTGGCAAAATTCTATAAAACTTTTTTTATTTGAATTCTACACATTCATACAATATTATACACATTCATACGATTAAGATAAAAAAAAAACTTTTATCAAATTTTGTCTGATGGTTATCAAGAAAAGCTTAAAAAAAAATCTGTTCCGTCTATCAATAAATTAAATGCTTTGGAATTACTTTGAGCAAAATTTTCTCACTATCTGACTAAATTTGTTAAGTTTATTTATTTTAATTCTATAAATTTCACAGAATTAAAATAAAAAAATCTTTGAATTTGAGCAAGTAGCTGTCAAGAAAACTTCTCTCAAAGAAATAACGTTCCGTCTATCAATAAATTGAGCTAAAAAAATTTTAAAACTTTGAAGTTTTCACGATAATTACCTGACTAAATTCGATGGTTTTTTCTTTATTTTAATGTGTATAATTAAAGTAAAAAACAATTCATCGAATTTGGTTAGGTAGTTATCGAAAAATGTTGCTTAAAGGTTAGAAAGAATTTGTTCTTTCTATTAGTATGCTAATTTTTCTTTAAACTTTGAGAGAAGTATAATCGATAATTTTCTAATCAGATTACATGAGTTTTTTTATTTTAATTCTATACATTGTTATACCTTTATCGAATTTTGTTGGGTGGTTTGTCAAGAAAACTTACTAAAATTTAGAATAAATCTGTCCTGGCTAATAGGCGAAAGTTAATTTTTCGTATTGCATTACTTGCCGACCCAAAATTTTCAAAAACTTGAATTGTTATTTAAACAATATAATGATATTTATTTTAATCGTTCTAATGAATTTAATTCAAAAAAAAATCAATAGTTATTTAATCAAAATATAAAGACATACAAGAATTACTCCAGAAAAATAGTACAATATCGAAACATTTTGGAATGTTACCCTTTATGAAATCTAATATAGTTGCATATATAAAATTTGTAATTTATTTAGCGCATTATTATCTGGTGATGCTGAAATTTGAACTTATTTGTTTAGAGTTAAGTTAGAAGTTAAGGTTAGAGTTCATAATAAAAATGTATAAGAGTAAATGTGAATTTTAATAGAGCTCATATTTTCAAATCAAGACACCAAATTTCAGCATCATCCATCTCAGTATTATATCGTCGTTTATCACATTAACACAGTTAAATAATCCCTTCATATTGTTAACTATTTTAAACAAAAAAAAGTTATAATTTTTCATCATTCATATTAAAATCTAATGGCTCTATTTTGGTAATCGTGTTTATGTGAAAATTGCACTTGGCCATCAATAATACATAATAATGCCTAATACTACAGTAATCGCAAAGAAGATCCGGAAAAATAATATGCAATTTTTTCCGTATTTAAGAATGATTAAATTGTTCTTCATTTTGGTTTAGACGAATGCTAAAAATTGAAGATTGTCATATTTTGTAAGCTACCGAT